GAACGGTTAAAGTGATCGCGCAAGCAAAATCGGTAAGTGTAATTCACCCCAATTACGCGCAATTTCAATACAGAAACGCATTTTGTTTGGAGAGTAATAGATAATTAATTATAGGTAATTAGATTAAATTTTTTGGGACTCTTCAGAAGTAGACACGAGCGTACAGTACCTAATTTAATTAAACTGAGCCGTAAAATTCTGCGATACCAATTGTGCGCTTTACTCCTTTATGATAAATTCTATCGACAATTCACAAAGCGCAAAGTTCTGCAGTGATTCAGTGCAAATTGTGCGTAATTTAATTAAAGTTGGGCCCTTAAGTGAACATTCTGTTGACGATTTTTAATTTGAAGGATTCCGCAATAATTTGGAACCAATTGGGCGATTCCTTTAGCAAAAATTCCATCTACAATTCACAAAACGCAGAGTTCTGCAGTGATTCAGTGCAAATTACGTGTAATTGCATTAAACTTGAGGACTTAAGTGAAAATTCTGTTGACGCTTTTTAAGTTGAAGGAATCCGCAATAATTTGGAGCCAATTGGGCGATTCCTTTAGCAAAAATTCCATCGGCAGTGCTAATTTTGAGTAATTAATTAAATTTTGAGCTCTTAAGCAATTAATCTGTTGAAAATTAATAAGTCGCAGGAATTGCCAATTAGTAATTAGGTTCAATTAGAACTCATTATCCGTAAGATATGTCAATTAATACCAATTACGACTCGTTGGTTCATTACATCGCTAATTAGTAATAACTAGCTCATCTAATTAGATTAAAAAATCATCATGCCATACCAACCATTTTGGCAAGCAGCATTTTTATGTCACATTGATAAAAACACCAAGTTTTCCAAGGGAAGGCAGGAAAATCGCGTGGAGATTCCACGAGATCGATAAGCTATTTTCATTCCTCAATTTATAATGGACATTTTTAAGCTTATTAAGGGCAATTTTAACGGTGAACCCGCACGCCAACGCAATATTTTTTTAATGGAAATTAATACGGTTTCTCGTTTTCCAGAAAAATGCAGGCGACAGCGGAGCCGCAGTGGATGTTGGAGCGTATGGATTCGGGATCGTTGTACTGGCGACGAAATCACGAGGGTTCGCGTACATCGAGGTGAGCGGGACCGGGGGTGTAATTAATTATCGCGTAATTTACGTTTTAAAGGGTGAAGTTTCGCTTCGACGTCGAGGTTAAGGAGTTCTCTATGGGAGAGCACGAATTATACGAGCCGGAGTGGTCTGAAAGTTCGTCTAATTTAACGATGGGAATGACCGTCGTCTTTTGTGCGATGATCCTACTTTTGCCTTGGTGCGTTATAGGACTGAATTGATAAGGGAAAGGGCGTGCTGTGCGTCATCTATTGTCCACGATGAACTTCGTTCTGACCATAACAAATTGCTTAAACTCGTTTCTGACATGAACTGATTAAAATCGTCAGCGGTTTTTATGTAGGGGTACACCATTAGCTTAAGTTTTATTTATTATCTTCTATTTATGTTGTTAATAATATTTGTAACGCAAATAACTACGTATAAAATAAAATGATAACCTGTTTCGTATTTTTCTATCCGGCCCGAAGGACCAATCGTATGTATTTATAAACAACTACGACAATGACAAAAAAAACACAACTTATCACTTTGCCTACAATTTTAATTATGTAAAAGATAACGTAGCCGACGTTCGGAGACCATAACAACAACAGCCTTGGATTAGGCAACCAACTTGGCGTAGATATAGGAAAAGTTCCAAACAAACGGCAATAGAGGCATTTTTAGTGATAAATAAATTCGTCACAACTCGTATTTCTCAACTACGAATTTCCATGAGCGAATTCAGTCGTTGGAATTTTAAACAAATCTTGAACTTGGCAGGCGGTGTAAACAAAATAAAAAAGGAACGCATAAAACAAAAGCCGAGACGAAATGCAAAATATATGCGCCGTTTTGTGCCTTTGTGCTGCAATTACCTTAAAATTCAGGGATACGGACTTCGACATTAATTAAGATTCTAAGGCAAACATCAAACGCAAAATATGCGCGGTTTTGTGCCTTTGGAATGCAATTTTGTGCTGCAATTACAAAATAATTTACCTCAAAATTCAGGGATATGGACTTCTACAAGAATTAAGTTTCATAGGCAAACATTAAGCGCTAATTTAGTGCCGTTTTGTGCCTTTGGAATGTAATTTTGTGCTCCAAGTATAAGAATATTACCTCAAAATTCAGGGATATGAACTTCTAAATGAATTAAGTTTCTTAGGCAAACATTAAACGCTCATTATGCGCCGTTTTGTGCCTTTGGAATGTAATTTTGTGCTGCAAGAAGAAGAATATGCCCTCAAAATTAACGAATATAAACTTCTACTTAAATTAAGTCTCTTAGGCAAAAATTATGCGCCGTTGGAGTGTAATTTTGTGCTGCAATTAGAAGAATAGTACCTCGAAATTCACGAATATAAACTTCTACTTAAATTAAGTCTCTTAGGCAAAAATTATGCGCCGTTTTGCGCCGTTGGAGTGTAATTTTGTGCTCCAATTAGAAGAATAGTACCTCGAAATTCACGAATATAAACTTCTACTTAAATTAAGTCTCTTAGGCAAAAATTATGCGCCGTTTTGCGCCGTTGGAGTGTAATTTTGTGCTCCAATTAGAAGAATAGTACCTCGAAATTCACGAATACAAACTTCTACTTAAATTAAGTGACTTAGGCAAAAATTATGAGCCGTTTTGCGCCTTTGGAGTGTAATTTTGTGCTCCAATTAGAAGAATAGTATCTCGAAATTCACGAATATAAACTTCTACTTAAATTCAGTGCCTTAGGCAAAAATTATGCGCCGTTTTGCGCCTTTGGAGTGTAATTTTGTGCTGCAATTAGAAGAATAGTACCTCGAAATTCACGAATATAAACTTCCACTTAAATTAAGTGTCTTAGGCAAAAATTATGCGCCGTTTTGCGCCTTTGGAGTGTAATTTTGTGTTCCAATTAGAAGAATAGTACCTCGAAATTCACGAATATAAACTTCTACTTAAATTAAGTGTCTTAGGCAAAAATTATGCGCCGTTTTGCGCCGTTGGAGTGTAATTTTGTGCTCCAATTAGAAGAATAGTACCTCGAAATTCACGAATATAAACTTCTACTTAAATTAAGTCTCTTAGGCAAAAATTATGCGCCGTTTTGCGCCGTTGGAGTGTAATTTTGTGCTGCAATTAGAAGAATAGTACCTCGAAATTCACGAATACAAACTTCTACTTAAATTAAGTCTCTTAGGCAAAAATTATGCGCCGTTTTGCGCCGTTGGAGTGTAATTTTGTGCTCCAATTAGAAGAATAGTACCTCGAAATTCACGAATATAAACTTCTACTTAAATTAAGTCTCTTAGGCAAAAATTATGCGCCGTTGGAGTGTAATTTTGTGCTGCAATTAGAAGAATAGTACCTCGAAATTCACGAATATAAACTTCTACTTAAATTAAGTCTCTTAGGCAAAAATTATGCGCCGTTTTGCGCCGTTGAAATGTAATTTTGTGCTGCAATTAGAAGAATAGTAACTCGAAATTCACGAATATAAACTTCCACTTAAATTAAGTGCCTTAGGCAAAAATTATGCGCCGTTTTGCGCCTTTGGAGTGTAATTTTATGCTGCAATTAGAAGATTATTACTTCAACATTCACGAATATAAACTTCTACTTAAATTAAGTGTCTTAGGCAAAAATTATGCGCCGTTTTGCGCCGATGGAGTGTAATTTTGTGCTGCAATTAGAAGAATAGTACCTCGAAATTCACGAATATAAACTTCTACTTAAATTAAGTGTCTTAGGCAAAAATTATGCGCCGTTGGAGTGTAATTTTGAGCTGCAATTAGAAGAATAGTACCTCGAAATTCACGAATACAAACTTCTACTTAAATTAAGTGTCTTAGGCAAAAATTATGAGCCGTTTTGCGCCTTTGGAGTGTAATTTTGTGCTCCAATTAGAAGAATAGTACCTCGAAATTCACGAATATAAACTTCTACTTAAATTAAGTCTCTTAGGCAAAAATTATGCGCCGTTGGAGTGTAATTTTGTGCTGCAATTAGAAGAATAGTACCTCGAAATTCACGAATATAAACTTCTACTTAAATTCAGTGCCTTAGGCAAAAATTATGCGCCGTTTTGCGCCTTTGGAGTGTAATTTTGTGCTGCAATTAGAAGAATAGTACCTCGAAATTCACGAATACAAACTTCTACTTAAATTAAGTGTCTTAGGCAAAAATTATGAGCCGTTTTGCGCCTTTGGAGTGTAATTTTGTGCTCCAATTAGAAGAATAGTACCCCGAAATTCACGAATATAAACATCTACTTAAATTAAGTCTCTTAGGCAAAAATTATGCGCCGTTGGAGTGTAATTTTGTGCTGCAATTAGAAGAATAGTACCTCGAAATTCACGAATATAAACTTCTACTTAAATTAAGTCTCTTAGGCAAAAATTATGCGCCGTTTTGCGCCGTTGAAATGTAATTTTGTGCTGCAATTAGAAGAATAGTAACTCGAAATTCACGAATATAAACTTCCACTTAAATTAAGTGCCTTAGGCAAAAATTATGCGCCGTTTTGCGCCTTTGGAGTGTAATTTTATGCTGCAATTAGAAGATTATTACTTCAACATTCACGAATATAAACTTCTACTTAAATTAAGTGTCTTAGGCAAAAATTATGCGCCGTTTTGCGCCGATGGAGTGTAATTTTGTGCTGCAATTAGAGGAATAGTACCTCGAAATTCATGAATACAAACTTCTACTTAAATTAAGTGTCTTAGACAAAAATTATGCGCGGTTTTGTGCCTTTGAAGTGTAATTTTGTGCTGCAATTGAAAGAAACTGGACCTCCCGAGGTCGCATCGAGTGTCGCCGTGGCCCGAGTCTTTTACAGCGCTCATTTCCCCACAAGCTTTTTATTATAAAAATCATTAAATAATCTATTCTCCCGATGATGATCGACTGATAAGATTGTATACAAATAATGAAAATGAGTTGCGCTTTTATGTCCAGGAAATTGCCTTTTCAATGTCCTTTCCGTAATTACGAATTGTCAGTCGGCGAGTCTCTCACAAGGACCAAACATGCACCGCGTACTTTTTCTGTGTTCGCTACTGGGAATTGGGGTATTTCTTCGATTTTCTCAGTTCACCAGTAACCCAATGCTTGCAGTACGTCAACATGTTTACCCTCACCAACTTTGTGATATCGACCCTTGAAAATTGCGACCCGAACAATGCCAGCGAAATGTTCTTGCGAGTCACGAAGACGTCGGGACGCCAGTACTTGGACTTTTCGATCAATTTTAAAAGTCCGTTCGACGAGAAGATCGGTGTAAGTTGGACGGAATGGTTTTCGGTTTTGTATCTCTTTCTTTTTTCAGTTTACCACGTCCATCAGTTCCTCTGCGGATGGGGCGCGTTATACCAAACTATTCGACATCCGCGACAAGTACGCGTGCAAAGGCGCGAATAAGTACCTGGGGCAGTTCTGGTACGAGATCCAGCAAGCTGCGCAGTACCCTCCAGGCGTCTGCCCAATGCCGAAGGTAAGTCCACTGCAATCTCGACAATTTGCTGAATGTAGGTATACTTTTTTAGAGGCGCTACCGAGCGCGAAATCACTCATTGGATTTTTCAAAAATTGCTCTTCAAACTTTCCCATTTGGCAAGTTGAGGATCAAGATATTGGTATTTGAAAACGCGGCGCCAGAGAATATTTTCTATTGTATTACCACAGATCTCTTCAATGTGGATAATTAAAGTCTTTTTAAGTTCAGTCATGGAATTTGTGTTGTTGGCTAATAAACCAACAAAACCCATCCCTAGACGCTTAAAGATTCAAGAATTAAGTGGATACAAAATTCATTAATTACCTGTACTAATTCGAATTTGCTAATCTGCAAGAATCCTACACATTTATCGTGCAATACGTGCGGTACAAAAACGGTGGAGTATCGATTTGAGAATCTCCACATTCTTTTCAGGCGGGGAACAGTCGTAATGAAATAAATGATTGATTGGCGGCCTTTTCGCCCTAATTTCAATGTAAGCGATATAATCAATCTCGAATAAATATTTGCCTTTTGAATCGTTGACTCGTGAATGTTTGATCGATAGGTGGTGCTCGAACTATTCGTGCCATATAATTAATGTTCATTGATGTACAATTACCCCTAAGAATAACGACGATAATTGCAACTTCGATAACACGAGCTCGGCCCCTTTCTTTCGTTTTAACGTGCGAAGTTTTCGTAATTATTTTGCGTTAAGCAACCGCCCGTGTTCGAAAAGAAGCTCAAAGTTTTAAGTTGTGTCATCTTAGTACACTTCTTGATTAAGGGATTAGGGGGCTTGTGAAAATGTAGAAGTGAAAAGTTAAGTCTCGAAAGCTACACGTTCAACTTTTAGTGAATTTTCGAAAGTTGCCGTCGTTAGGGATTTTAAAAGCTCAGTATTTTCACACCTCGCAATCCGCCGATATCGAGGGGGAGAATAATTATCCCAATATTCAAATAAAATGTGTATAGTTAGGTTTAGCATGTAATTGAGATTCACTGTATTTTTTAAACAATAGCACAACAATTACCTCGAAAGTGCAAACTACGGTCAACTTGGACGTTGCAAAAAGTGCAAAAATTGAAAAGAGCAGACAATAGCACAAAATTAGCACGAAGCAGAGTAGCACACTATATCAATATCGGTTTTTTTAAATCTCGAAAGTAAAAATTACGACCAACTTGGAGGATCTACAAGTGCAAAAATTGGAAAATACAAATATTAGCTGACAGTAGCACCAATTTAGCACATTGCAATATCGGGTTTTTTATATCGCTAATTGCAGCACAAAATTACACTCCAAACGCACAAAGCGCTTAATATTTGCCTAAGAAAATCAATTCATGTAGAGGTCCATATTTGTGAATTTTGAGGCAATATTCTTCTAATTGCCGCACAAAATTACACTCTAAAGGCACAAAACGCGGCATAATTTTTACCTAAGGACTTTAAATTAAGTAGAAGTTATTATTCGTGAATTTTGAGGTAATAATCTTCTAATTGCAGCACAAAATTACACTCCAAAGGCACAAAGCGGCGCATAATTTTTATCTAAAACACATAATTTAAGTAGAAGTTTAAATTCGTGAATTTTGGGGTAATATTCTTCTAATTACCGCACAAAATTACACTCTAAAGGCACAAAACGCGGCATAATTTTTACCTAAGGACTTTAAATTAAGTAGAAGTTATTATTCGTGAATTTTGAGGTATTAATCTTCTAATTGCAGCACAAAATTACACTCCAAAGACACAAAACGGCGCATAATTTTTACCTAAAACACATAATTTAAGTAGAAGTTTAAATTCGTTAATTTTGGGGTAATATTCTTCTAATTACCGTACAAAATTACACTCCAAAGGTGCAAAACAGCGCATAATTTCTGCTTAAGAAACTTAATTCAAGTAGAGGTTTATATTGGTGAATTTTAAAGTAAGATTCTTCTAATTGCAGTACAAAATTCACTCCAAAGGCACAAAACGGCGCATAATTTTTGGATCAGAAACGTGATTTAAGTAGAAGTCTATATTCGTGAATTTTGAAGCAATATTATTTTAATTGCAGCACAAAATTACACTCCAAAGGCACAAAACGGCGCATAATTAACGCTTAAAAATTTAATTTAAGTAGAAGATTATATTCGTGAATTTTGGGGTAATATTCTTCTAATTACAGCACAAAATTACACTCCAAAGGCGCAAAACGGCGCATAATTTTTGCCTAAGGAACTTAATTTAAGTAGAAGTTTATATTAGTTAATTTTGGGGTAATATTCTTCTAATTACAGCACAAAGTTACACTCCAAATGCACAAAACAGCGCATAAGGAACTTAATTTAAGTAGAAGTTTATATTCGTGAATTTTGGGGTAATATTCTTCTAATTACAGCACAAAATTACACTCCAAATGCACAAAACAGCGCATAAGGAACTTAATTTAAGTAGAAGTTTATATTCGTAAATTTTGGGGTAATATTCTTCTAATTACAGCACAAAATTACACTCCAAATGCACAAAACAGCGCATAAGGAACTTAATTTAAGTAGAAGTTTATATTCGTGAATTTTGGGGTAATATTCTTCTAATTACAGCACAAAATTACACTCCAAAGGCACAAAACAGCGCATAAGGAACTTAATTTAAGTAGAAGTTTATATTCGTGAATTTTGGGGTAATATTCTTCTAATTACAGCACAAAATTACACTTCAAATGCACAAAACGGCGCATAAGGAACTTAATTTAAGTAGAAGTTTATATTCGTGAATTTTGGGGTAATATTCTTCTAATTACAGCACAAAATTACACTCCAAAGGCGCAAAACGGCGCATAAGGAACTTAAATTAAGTAGTTTATATTCGTGAATTTTGGGGTAATATTCTTCTAATTACAGCACAAAATTACACTCCAAATGCACAAAACAGCGCATAAGGAACTTAATTTAAGTAGAAGTTTATATTCGTGAATTTTGGGGTAATATTCTTCTAATTACAGCACAAAATTACACTCCAAAGGCGTAAAACGGCGCATAAGGAACTTAATTTAAGTAGAAGTTTATATTCGTGAATTTTGGGGTAATATTCTTCTAATTACAGCACAAAATTACACTGCAAATGCACAAAACAGCGCATAAGGAACTTAATTTAAGTAGAAGTTCATATTCGTGAATTTTGGGGTAATATTCTTCTAATTACAGCACAAAATTACACTCCAAATGCACAAAACAGCGCATAAGGAACTTAATTTAAGTAGAAGTTTATATTCGTGAATTTTGGGGTAATATTCTTCTAATTACAGCACAAAATTACAGCACAAAATTACACTCCAAAGGCACAAAACGGCGCATAATTAACGCTTAAAAATTTAATTTAAGTAGAAGATTATATTCGTGAATTTTGGGGTAATATTCTTCTAATTACAGCACAAAATTACACTCCAAAGGCGCAAAACGGCGCATAATTTTTGCCTAAGGAACTTAATTTAAGTAGAAGTTTATATTAGTTAATTTTGGGGTAATATTCTTCTAATTACAGCACAAAGTTACACTCCAAATGCACAAAACAGCGCATAAGGAACTTAATTTAAGTAGAAGTTTATATTCGTGAATTTTAAAGTAAGATTCTTCTAATTGCAGTACAAAATTCACTCCAAAGGCACAAAACGGCGCATAATTTTTGGATCAGAAACGTGATTTAAGTAGAAGTCTATATTCGTGAATTTTGAAGCAATATTATTTTAATTGCAGCACAAAATTACACTCCAAAGGCACAAAACGGCGCATAATTAACGCTTAAAAATTTAATTTAAGTAGAAGATTATATTCGTGAATTTTGGGGTAATATTCTTCTAATTACAGCACAAAATTACACTCCAAAGGCGCAAAACGGCGCATAATTTTTGCCTAAGGAACTTAATAAGATTTAATTTAAGTAGAAGTTTATATTCGTGAATTTTGTAATATTCTTCTAATTACAGCACAAAATTACACTCAAAGCCAAAACGGCTAATTAATTTAAGTAGAAGTTCTATTCGTGAATTTTGGGGAATATTCTTCTAATTACAGCACAAAATTACACTCCAAATGCACAAAACAGCGCATAAGGAACTTAATTTAAGTAGAAGTTTATATTCGTGAATTTTGGGGTAATATTCTTCTAATTACAGCACAAAATTACACTTCAAATGCACAAAACAGCGCATAAGGAACTTAATTTAAGTAGAAGTTTATATTCGTGAATTTTGGGGTAATATTCTTCTAATTACAGCACAAAATTACACTTCAAATGCACAAAACGGCGCATAAGGAACTTAATTTAAGTAGAAGTTTATATTCGTGAATTTTGGGGTAATATTCTTCTAATTACAGCACAAAATTACACTCCAAAGGCGCAAAACGGCGCATAAGGAACTAATTTAAGTAGAAGTTTATATTCGTGAATTTTGGGGTAATATTCTTCTAATTACAGCACAAAGTTACACTCCAAATGCACAAAACAGCGCATAAGGAAGTTAATTTAAGTAGAAGTTTATATTCGTGAATTTTGGGGTAATATTCTTCTAATTACAGCACAAAATTACACTCCAAAGGCGCAAAACGGCGCATAAGGAACTTAAATTAAGTAGTTTATATTCGTGAATTTTGGGGTAATATTCTTCTAATTACAGCACAAAATTACACTCCAAATGCACAAAACAGCGCATAAGGAACTTAATTTAAGTAGAAGTTTATATTCGTGAATTTTGGGGTAATATTCTTCTAATTACAGCACAAAATTACACTCCAAAAGCGAAAAACGGCGCATAAGGAACTTAATTTAAGTAGAAGTTTATATTCGTCAATTTTGGGGTAATACTCTTCTAATTACAGCACAAAATTACACCACAAAATTACACTCCAAAGGCGTAAAACGACGCATAATTTTTGACTAAGCAACTTAATTTAAGTAGAAGTTTATATTCGTGAATTTTGGGGTAATACTCTTCTAATTACAGCACAAAATCAAACTCCAAAGGCGTAAGAAGGTGCATAATGTGCGCATAAGGAACTTAATTTAAGTAGAAGTTTATATTCGTGAATTTTGGGGTAATATTCTTCTAATTACAGCACAAAATTACACTTCAAATGCACAAAACAGCGCATAAGGAACTTAATTTAAGTAGAAGTTTATATTCGTGAATTTTGGGGTAATATTCTTCTAATTACAGC